TCTTTGAGTCCATTTATATGATTAATGATGTTTATTGACTTGCGTATATTGAACCACCCCTGCATCTCTGGGATAAAGCCTACTTGATCATAGTGAATAATATTTTTGATGTGTGTCTGTATGCGGTTTGCAAGTATTTTGTTGAGAATTTTTGCATCTATGTTCATTAAGGATATGGGTCTATAGTTTTCTTTTTTGGTTGTGTCTTTACCCGGTTTGGGTATTAGAGTGATGCTGCCTTCATAGAAAGAATTTAGTCGTTCTCCCTCTGCTTCTATCTTTTTGAATAATTTAATTAATATTGGTTGGAGGTCTTCTTTAAATGTCTGGTAGAATTCTGCTGTAAATTCATCTGGGCCTGGTCTCTTTTTCAGTTGGGAGGCTTTGTATTATTGCTTCAATTTCCTCATATGTTATGGGTCTATTTAAACTAATGATCTCTTCTTGGTTTAACTTTGGTGGTTCCCATGATTTTAGATATCCATCCATTTATTTTAGATTTTTCAAATTTGGCAGTGTATAGGTTTTTAAAATATTCCCTTAGAATGGTCTGGATCTTTGGGGTGTCTGTTGTGTTGTTTGCCCTGTCATCTCTGATTTTGTTGATTTGGATTTGCTCTTTCTTTCTTTCGGTTAACTGGGCTAAGGGTCTCCCTATCTTGTTTAGCTTTTCAAAGAACCTTCTTTTAGAGTCATTCTTTGTATTGTTTTCTTTGTTTCTATTTCATTAATTTCTGCTCTTATTTTTGTTACTTCTCTTCTGCTGGGTTTGGGTTTCATTTGTTCTTGCCTTTCTAGGGTCTCGAGCGGCAGTGTTAGGTCATTTATTTGGGCTCTTTCTAATTTTTTAATGTAGGCACTTAGAGCTATAAACTTCCCTCTTAGGACTGCTTTTAAAGTGTCCCAGAGGTTGTGTTGTGCTGTATTGTCCTTTTCATTGAAGTCCAGGAATTCTTTTATTTCTTTCTTAATTTCTCCTTTCACCCACTTGTTGTTTAGCAATGTGTTGTTCAATTGTCATGAGTTCACGTAATGACTAGGGCTTCATCCAGTGTTGATTTTGAGCTTTATTGCATTGTGGTCTGGTAGAACACATAGGGTTATTTCAATTTTTTTGTATTTGTTGAAGCTTGTTTTGTGGCCCCGTATGTGATCAGTTTTTGAAAAAGTTCCATGGGGTGCTGAGTAGAAAGTGTATTATTTGGTGCTTGGGTGGAATATTCGAAAGATGTCTGTTAGGTTCATTTGGTGTATAGCATTGTGCTGGATAGCTTTAGTGTCAACTTGACACACCTGGGTTGAGGGAGCCTCAATTGGGGAATTGCCTCTATTGGACTGGCCTGTGGCCATGTCTGAGGGGCATCTTGATGAGTGATGTGGGAGGGCCCAGCCCACTGTGGGTGGTGCCACCCCTGGGCAGGTGGGCCTGTGTTGCATAAGAAAGCAGGCTGAGCAGGGGCCAGAGGAGTAAGCCAGTAAGCAGTGTTCCTCCATGGCCTGTGCTCCAGCTCCTGCCTCCAGGTTCCTGTCCTGAGTTCCTACCTTGGGCTCCCAGATGAACTGTGACCCAGGATATGTAAGACAAATAAACCCTTTCCTCCCAAAGTTGGTATTGGTCAGAGTGTTTTGTCACAGCAATGGAGAAACAAACTAAGACAGCATCATTTAATTCAGATGTCTCTGTTTATTCTTTGTCCAGTTGACCTGTCTAATGAACAGTGGAATATTGAAGTCCCCTACTATTACTGAGTTGGTATTAATCTGTGTCTTAAAGTCCTATAGTGTTGTTTTTATGAATTTGGGTGCACCAGAGTTTGGTACATATATGTTAAGGATTGTATTTTCTTATTGGTTAGCTGTTCCTTTGATCAGAATGAAGTGACCCTCCTTATCTCTTCTGATTGGTTTTACTTTGAAGTCTATTTTGTCAGATATTAGAATTGCAACCCCTGCTTGTTTCTTAGTGCCATTTGCTTGGAATATTCTTTTCCATCCTTTTACCTTAAAGTAGTGCCTGTCCTTGAAGGTGAGATGGGTTTCTTGCAGACAGCAAAGAGATGGATTTTTTTTTCTTAATCCATTCACTTAGCCTGTGTCTTTTGACTGGGGAGTTCAGTCCATTGATATTTAAGGTTATTAATGAAAGATGTGTATTGGTTGCCGTCATTTTGATTGCTGTTTGTGTTCTCTAATTTTGTGTTTCCTCGATTATACCTTTATTTATTTTCTTTCATTGCTCCTGGGGTATAGTTATTTCTCTCTCTGCTCTCTGCATTGCTTCAAGTATTCTTTGAAGGGCTGGTGTGGTGGACATGTATTCTTTCAGGCTTTTTGTGTAATGGAAGATTTTTCTTTCCCCCTCAACTATAATAGACACTTTTGCTGGGCAAAGTATTCTGGGCTGACATCTATTGTCATGTAGAACTGGAAATATCTTGGTTGAGGCTCTTCTGGCTTTCATAGTTTGCATTGATAAGTCAGCTGTAATTCTGATGGGCTTTCCTTTGTATGTGACTTGTTTTTCTTTCGCTGCTTTCAGTATTCTCTCTTTGTTCTGTACATTTAGTGTTTTTACTATGTTATGCTGTGGGGAGTTTCTTTTCTGATCCTGTCTGTTTGGTGTTCTATGTGCTTCCTGTATTTGTATGGGGATGTCTTTCCTTAATTTCAGGAAATTCTCTTCTACAATCCTGTTTAAGATCTGGTCAACACCATTAACTTGAAATTCTTCTCCTTCCTCTATTTTCTGTAGATTTGGTCTTTTCCTGGTATCCCACATCTCTTGCATATTCCATTCCTGGTTTTTTTTTTTTTTAATTTTCCATAATCTTTGCTTGAGTGGTCTAATTCTTCAACTTTATCCTCCAGTGTTGATATTCTGTTTTCCATTTCATTCATTCTAGTGGCGAGGCTTTCCCCTGTTGTTTCAAGTTGGCTTATTTCTTCAATGTTTCTATCTCTTTTGTGAATTCATTCAGAAGTCTATCCCTATCTTCTTTTAGCTCTTTGATTTGTTTGTATGTGTTCTTTAAATTCATTGAATTCCTTGATCATGTTTATGATTGTTCTTTTAAATTCTGTGTCCTGGGTTATCTCTAGGGGGTTCTCCTTGTAGAACTCTTCTACAGGACTGGTGGAGTTTGGTTGG